ATGAACTTTTGGGGGACACCTCACATCTAAACCATAACATTCCACCCCAGTCCCCAAAAGTTCATTCTCATCTTCCAATGCAAAATACATTTAGTCCATTTCCAAAAGTCCCTATAGTCTCAACAGTTTCAAGATTGCCCAAAAATCCAAGTCCAAAGTCTTCACTGAGACTCAAGGCAAACTCTAAAGTGTGAGCCCCTGTAAAAATCAAAAGCAAGTTACATATGTCCAATATATAAAGGTACAGAATAAACATTACCATTCAGAAAAAATAGGGGGATAAAAAGAAGAGATGGGACCAAAACAAGACTGAAACCCAGCTGGGCAAACAAGTCCTGTAGTTCCATATCTGGCATCTGGAGCACATGGCATTGTGATATTCTCTCCAAAAGGCTTGTGTGACTCTGTCTCTCTATCTTATTTGTCAGTTGCAACCCACATGGCCTTTACATTGATTTGTCTCTTCTCAGTTCCTGCAGTTTTCCTGGGTTGATGCTCCATGTTACTGGCATTTCTTACTCTTGGGGGTTTCCACTGCAGCTTCAGCTTCCTCCTCACATCTCCATGTATCATTGTTGGCAGGGACTCAGACCCTGCTGCACTTTGCCTGGCCTCCAAGGCTTTCCTTTGAAATCTTGGTGGAAGCCTACATGACCCCCTAAGTCCAGCATCCTGCAATCCTGCAGAACCAGCACCACATGATTGATGCCTAGGTGTGCCACCATCTGGAGCAGTAGCCAAGCCTCCAGAGATGCTGGCTACAGCAGTCTGTGAGAGCCTGGGTAGCTGAGCATATTGAAAAAGCTTCCTGCAAGCAGGATGCCCCACTGTTTTCTTCTCAAAGGAGCCTGAGATGTGGCTGGTTTTGCCAATTCCTGGGATGTCCTCAAGCCATCTTTCTTACTTTCTCTGGGAAAAGTCTTTAGCATTTTTTTAGTGGCACTAATGTTTTTAACTACTGCAACTTCCTTAGCCCCAGTTTTACACCTGACTTTCAAGTCCAAATCTTTCTGTTCTGCTTTATCTCCCAAATATAACAATTAAATTGGCTAAAAACCACCAGCAATATCCAATGCTATTCTGCCTAGAAATTTCTTTCAACAGATTAAGAAGTCCATAACTTTTAAAATCAGCCTCACAGAAAGTCTCAGGACATGGGCAAAATGCAGACAACTTCTTAGCCAGAATGTAACATGAATGGCTTCTAGTCCAAATTCCAATAGAGTCCTCCTTCTCTGAAACCTCATGAACCCCTTCACTGTGCACAATCCTATAGACATTCTAGTCTTCTGAGCTCACACCAGAATTGTCCATTAAGTTCCAATCTAAAGCTTTTCCAGCTTGCATTGCTAAACTTTCCAAAATTCTTCCCTCAAATTCCAAAAAACTTCAAAAGCTTCTGAACCACATGATCAGGTTAGTCACAGCAATGACCCCACTTCTCAGTACCAATTTCTACTTTAGTCAGCATTTTCACTGCTGTGACTAAAAGACCTGACAAGAACAGTTTTAGAGGAGGAAAAGTTTATTTGGGTCTCATGGTTTCAGAGATCTCGGTACACAGAAGCAGACTCCATTCCTTAGGGCTGGAGGTAATGTAGAACATCATGGTGGAAGAATGTAGTGAAGGGAAGGGCTCACATAATGATCAGAAAGAAAGGGAGACTCCATTCATCAGATACAAAAGATACACTCCAAAGGCATGCCCCCAATGACCCATCTCTTCTAGCCATACCCTACCTGTACCTGCCTTCAGTTACCACTCAGTTAATCCCTATCAGGGGATTAATTCACTAATTGGGTTAAGGCTGTCATAACCCAATCATTTCATTTCTGAAAGTTCTTGCATTGTCTCACATATGAGCTTCTAGGGGATACCAAATATCTAAACTATAATAGTGGCCTTTCAGAATGTTTTTAGTAGAGTCATGATGACAGAATTCAGATTTTGGGGGTTCCTGACCATCCTTTAGGATCCAAAATGAAACAAAGCTTGAAACCCCATGAGCTCAAAGGTTTGGGTTACCCCCCAGATCTCTATATTTTTCTTTCATCTTTTTGTGTTACCCCCAGATCTGTACAGAGTCAATCAATCCTTGGGGTGGACAGAGTCCATAAATCCTTGAGGTATGTTTATCTATTACAGCAATTCATCTATTGTACTGAAATTCTTTTTACCTATTTTTCTTCCTCATTTAGACTCAGAATTCCTTGAAGTGAGGAGCTGTGTCTTTTCTCTATTTTAATCTCTTTTCTTTTCCAGCTTTACTGAGATATCAGTGATAAGTAGAAACTGTATATATTTAAGATGTACAACTTGATGTTTTGATAAGTAGCCCTATCTTCCTTTTCAAATCTCCAGAGTCTGGCATAATACCTGGCATACAGGAGATATCTGTTAATGCCTGGTGAATGAATGACTGGAGAGCAATTGGAGGCAAAGGGCACAGGCTAGCAGTGAAAGTAGATGAATCTTATGTTTGAAGGCAAATGAGAGTATAGCAATTGATGCTGTTGGATCAGGGAGCAGGTAGGAAATCAGTTCTTTCAGAGCATGGAATAGATGCAATTAAAAACGCAGCTTTAGATTTAGAAAGAAGAATGACAGCTCTTTCTCTGAGTCTTGGAGGAAGCATGAGAGGGTGGGGGTACAAGATGAAACAGCTTAGCTAGATGGCCCTTTTCCCTTTTAACTTCATAAGTCATGAAGTTAAGGCCTTTGCTGAGAATGAGGTACAAAAAGTGGAATCTAGAGCCTGAAGAAAAAGACTACAAGAATATTGGTTGAAGTGTACTGGTGAATTGATAAAAGATTAATAGATCCCCTGCTGTATTCCTGGGCACTAAAAGCATGTTATCACAATCAGACTTCTGTAGCCCGTGAAATAGCAGGTTGCATCTGTAACTCATGCTGATTGGGAATGGTTACCATACCTGAGGCCTGAAAGTAATTGAAGTCACTGATCTGTCCCTCTCCTGAATTCTCTGCACTTTTCTTTCACCTCTCAGTTTAAGACACTCACTGCAGTGAATCTACTATTGTAGATATTTGTCTCTTTCTTGGTAGACTGTAAATAGTTGAAAACAAGGGCCATAATTTATTCACTTTTGTGCTGTACCTTAGCATAGTGCTTTGTACATAACAAGTAGCAGATTCTGTATCAGGCACACACCTCTAATATAGCATTTATCACATCATACTGTATTTGTTTTCTTGTCCAGCTCCCCTTTAACACCATGAGTTCAAGGGCAGGGAAAGTTATATTGGTTTATATCTCCCTTGTGTTTAGAGCTTAGTTTTGCAAATGTTTGTTGAATCCAATATTGTCAAAATGAATGCAGAGATGAAAGAATGAATAAAGATAGAAAAATGTGGAGATCTGGGGATAACCCAAAAAGATGACACACTGCACAGGCTCTGCGTTTTTGTTGCTTACATAATCACCTGTCTAACCCTGACATCAGTAAGCCTGTAAAGCTGGTGGGAAATGATGCCGGGGACCTGTTTTCACATACACTGCAAATGTTTGGAATACACATTTCAGATCTTCTTATCAAATCTGGTCACTCCCTTTACAGCACAGAGTTTGGGTAAAAGGGCTAAGGGTTCCTTGCAGTTAAATAACTGCTTTGTCCACCTTTATTGTGTACCTATTTGAATGGAATCAATGTTACCCCACTATGGTCACTGTTTTCTTGTAGATTACAATTTAGGGTTGATATTGCAGAGAAAAATTAAAAGACTAGGGAAGCAATGTAGAAACAGCATTGAATAAAAACTGGAAATCCACATTCACTGCAGGAAAAACAGCTAACTTGAAGGGAGTCTTTAAATGTTCACTGGTTAGAGCTCCCCCACCCCACTTTTTTTTTTTTTTTTTTTTTTTTTTTTTTAATAAGACTGGCTTGCAGTCTNCCCCCCTTTTTTTTTTTTTTTTTTTTTTTTTTTTTTAATAAGACTGGCTTGCAGTCTGTGAGGCCGATATAAAATAACAAAAGCTGGACCCTTATTTAGGGCATACTATGTGCCCTGGCATTAGTCTAAGTGTTAGTTTGTTATCTAATTTCTCACAATCATCTTTTGAGATGGATACCAGTATGATCTCCATTTTGGACAAGATGAATCTGAGGGACAGAGAGGTAATATATAACATGATCAAGGTCACAAAGCTTCAAGTAACAGGAGCTGAGAGTCAAACCCAAACAGTCTGACTGCTATACACCTAAAAGGAAAGCACTGGTTTAGGTGTTTGGTTTACCTGTGTGGGTTATAAAGAAAAAAACATTTATCTTTTCTGACTATGGTGATCCCAGTATTTATATAGAGCCTGTTAATGCCAGGGATGCCAAATCGTGCTTTGGTTGCATTCTCTCATCCTTCCTCACAATACGCCCCTCAGGTACTATTTTATCCCCATTTTAAAGACAAAAAAAAAAAAAAAAAGAAAGAAAGAAAAAGATTTAAGGTTCAGAAGTTAAAAATGATTCGCCCAAGGACTGAAATGCAGGCAGGCAGACTCCCTATGAGCTTCTCAGTCTTTCCTGGCGGTAAAATGATGCGAACGGAGGACCTCAAAGGGATGCCACGAGAGTACAATGAAATAATGGATGTGAAAAGGCCTGGGTGAACAAGTGCAAGGGATAAGGCCTACCACTTGAATCTCTGTTTAAAACCGGTTACACAGGGCCCCTGTCCAACGGTTTCTAGTCCCAACCCTGCCCCTTCTTCGCCCAACACATAGTGATATCTTTGAATCTCTTTCTCTATCTCCTCAGATCCTGCCCCTAAACACTTGGCGGAGCGGCAGAGCGGAGAATAGAAGGTACGCGCGCGAGCAGGAGGTGGAGCCTGCCACCCAGATCCGTACAGGGGGTGCCCTGGCACATGCGCCATGGCCCTGTGGCTTCAGTTGCCCCGTCTTTGCAACCAATCAGGATCCGCGGCGCGCTCGGAACGTATCAACGCTGTGTGGGTCGTGTGCGTGCAAGGGGGGCGACGTAAGGGCGCTCCGCGAGCCCGTCTCTCCTCGAATGAAAGGAAACAACCTCCGGCGACAGAGCCCCGCTCTTAGGCACTGCTGGAGAACCTAGACCGACTTCTTTCTCTTTCCCCTCATTGGCGCTTCCCTCCTGCCGTCCGCCTCTGGGCCCGGCTGGTGAGTACCCACGGAACCCAGGGGCCCCCCATTCTCTGCCCGGCGGGAGAAGACAAGGAGGATGGCGGTGGCCAGGCCGCCGCCCCTGCCCGTTGTTAAGGGGGGGACTCTTGGTGGTCTCGCTTTATTGTCAGGGACCCCAGAAGCGACGTTCATTGTAGGCGCTTGGCAGAGAGGCTGCTGAGAAAAGTGCTTCAGAGGTGCGAAGGGAGAGGTTAAGCTTAAGCCTTGACTTCGGGGGAGGGGGCGCAACATTAGAGGAGGGAAAAAATTGGGAATTTTTAGTCTTTACTGTTGCTTAGGACATATTTGGGAAGAAAGGAGACTCCCAGTTTGGGAAGAGTGAGAGGAAGAATTTTTAGGATGGAAAGAGGGTTAACCTTACGGAATGAGGAAAAACTCCGGGGTGGGGGGAATTAGGGATGAAACTGATGTATAGGGCAAAGCTTATAGCGAAGAGTGTTAGAGGAGGATCTCCTGGGGGAGGGGGTGTAAAGAAAGTGGTAGGATGATATTTCCTGGATTTGTGAGGATTGGAAAAGGATGATTAGGGGACCCTGACTTTACGACTGAAGGGAACCTGCCGAAGTGTTTTAGAGGAAGATAGTTTTTCGAGTTTATCTAGCGCTTGATTAGAGGGAGATGTTGGAGTCTAGTGTGAATTGGGGACTAAATAACGGAGAGGATCCAGTATGTTATGTGTACCATCTTCTATTATACGAACAGCCCAGTATTCTTTTGCAATTTCCATTCGCTTCGATATTCTACTTGGAAGTTTAAAAAAATCTTTTGTTTTTGAAAAACCTTTTTATTTTCATGTGCTTCCTGCGTAATATCAGGTCTTATTCATACAGTTCAAATTCTTTCTCTACCCTTGGGTTTGAAACAACTGGAAAATTCCTTTAGTTTCCTTTTGAATAACCGCAAAAAGCAGTGCGAAGCATGTAACAATATCGTGCAACCAAATTCAGGTGCCCTTCCGGTACATCTCTTATTCGTTTATTTCTCTGCACTGTAACTTTCCTGATAGAAATACTGCATCTTTTGAGGATCGCTTTTATGTATTTTGACCTGTATATTTCAGCTTGCTTGCGTGTGGAATGTTTTAATCTTCCGGAACTGCAGTTTTTTTTTTTTCTGTGTGTGTGTGTGTGTGTGTGTGTGTGTGTGTGTGAAAATGCTCTTTCAGATAGGCATTGGATGAGCTCTCGAGTTGGTTCTTGAACGCTCTCCTTGAGGTTTCAGGTTATTTCTACCTTGGTGCTTCACAGCATCTTATAAAATCAGAAACGTACGATTGTTTCAGCCTAATGAGTCTGGCTTTTATATTTTTCATATATTTAAATTGTGTTTTTCAAGCAGTTATTGTTGCTTCCTTATTTTTGTTTTGTAACGTTATCCATGATGATGTTTTCTTTTAAGGAAAAAGGTTTCATTGTTGGATGAACATATCAAACTTTGATCTCTGCATGCCCTGAAAAACCTTTTAAACTAAAATTAAAATGCCCTATAGCTGTAGATCATTATGACCACTCCCCCATTGATCCTTGGAATGCCCTTATTCTACTTAGCTAGAGACCACAAATATGATTGACAGTATTAGATAAAAGTCTGTATTTTTATGATAAAGACATTTTTGCTAGGAGTCATTGTTTCCATGAGGTTTTCCACTTCATGTTTTATAAGGAGGCTGTGAAAAAAAATAGCAAGATATGCACAGATGCATTATCTGAATTATAGTGGAAAAATCCATTTAGTCATTGCACATTGGGGAAAGTTTTTAATTGGTTTTTTGCACTTTTTGTGTGGCTCTGTTCACTTTACAAATTAAATTTAAACTGATTAAAGGAAAAATATGCTGAAATACTTTTTAAGGGAAAATAAAATGTACCTTTTTTTTCTCTTTAAAATCTTTAATATCCAGAAACCCAGGTTCCCAAAATTAGGATGAGAAATGTACCTATTTATAAAGTGAAAAAGGCAGAATTCAACATGGATGGAATTGGGGGGATTACATTTCACAATTTTGAGAATAAAAAGTGATTTTCCACTCTAGGAATTTCCTTTATCCTAAGCCATTTTTATAGCCAGTGCTAGGATTCTATAGAAATTACACATTAAAGATGTCTGTACAGATTAGATTTATAATGTGCCATCCTTTCAACTAGCCGGGATGATCGGGAGAAATGCTGAATACATTACAGTGACTTCAGAGTGCCTATTATTCGTTGCATGGTAGTAAAAAAAAAATACTAATTTAGAACCCAGACAGCATATTTTGGTGCTATTTATGAATCTTGGTATTTTGTATAGATAATTCTAAAGATTTGGGCAGCTATATTCTTGATAAAGCAACTGAACACATACTTGCCTGAGCAAATGCAAACACACTTCCCCTTTTGTTTCTTTTGTTTCTGTTATGTCCTTTCCCCCCTTTAATCCTGAAAGTATTTGCTGCCTGTTTTCAATCAGTTTCACGGTTTATAGCCAGTGCTATGAATTCAGTACTATTATAAAGTATCTGATGCCACTTGGAAGACTGAGGTATTTAAAATTATAGATAGCATTAAGAGTTTAATAAGCCCATCAAAGCAAAGATTGTCAGGGCCTTTGAAGTTTTGTTAAAAAGAAAACCCTAGATATAAATGAGTGAGATGACATGTTTTCTTTGTGGCTTCATGTTAAATTTTGATTAAGTATCCAGATTTTTATATTGAATAGTACCAAATGGTTTGTAGATACAGTGTTGCTGCTGCTACTACTATTCTTGGTGAACAGATGCTTCTCAGAAAACTATAGTGTGGTGTTAGTGAGTCAGTTTTTTCAACGGTGTTATTAAAATGTTTGAGTATAGAAAATGGAAAGAATTTAATACATTAATTTTAAGACAGCAGTGTAAGATTTTATTGATTGTGATGCATGTGCAACTGGGATTCTGAACTGCTTAGTCCTATTGACTTGGGAAAATACAAATCAAATAACTGATTTTTAAATTTGTTTAGTATTGTTCTGAAAAATCCATGTTGAGAATGATGATCTAAATCTGAAACCTACTGTGTTAGAGCTTTTCTTCCCTTTTTCTGTTTGACTATATAACCTATTATTATAACTTAATCAAATGTAAGGCTTATTCAGAAAATTTTCCTTCTATTACACAATATTACTAATTTACATATGAAAGTTACTGCATTTAGAATACCAGTGTCAGTTTGTGACTTAATTAATAAGCAGACTTGAAGTAAATCACAATCATATAAGTGGTTTTATAAATAATGAAATCCTAAAGACTGAATTTTTTGGTAGCTATTAGAAGCTTAACTTTTTCTTGAAAAAAGGAATAGAATAGCCAAAATTAATTTATTAAAGATCATATGCATGTTTTTTTAAATTTGCATTTTAAAAATAAGTGCTCCAGAGTTATGGTTAAGTAAATTTATATTACTTTCATTGTTTTATAAATATGTGGACTCCAAAAATTGTGCAATTATAGAATTCTGTTCCCTCTGAATATTTTGTAGTTTTCTCAAGTTTTTGTATTTCTTTGTCTCCTTGAAGGGGTACCTAACCATACTTGAAAAATATTTTTCATTAATTACACAAACAAATGAATATTTACTATTGTGCATTTTTAAATCCTCACAGAATAGTTCTAATTATTTCACATATCCTCAAATTTGAGAGCAGTTTGATTTTTCTCATTAGTCTAGACTTTATTTAGGGGTCTCTCTCTCTCTCTCTCTCTCTCTCTCTCTGTGTAAAATTGAGACATTTGGGGGTTTTAATATTAATTTATCTATTACCCAGTAACTTTAAGTGTATGTATTGAAACCTAGTTCAAACATTAAACTACTTACATGAATACGTATAAACTGATATTAAAATGAAATTAACTGTTTTGTTGCCATTTTTATTCTCTGTAGCATTTCTTGAGACTTAAAGTGGCATTCTAAAGGCAATTTAAAAATCATGTCAAGCTCAATTGAACAGAAAAAAGGGCCTACAAGACAGCGCAAATGTGGCTTTTGTAAGTCAAATAGAGACAAGGAGTGTGGACAGTTACTAATATCTGAAAACCAGAAGGTGGCAGCACACCATAAGTGCATGGTAAGTATAGAGGCAGCCAACCAAGAGACCTTGAAACCATTCATGAGAGAATCTTAATAACACATGATTATTCCCAAGTACTTTTTTTAAAAAAGCACTCAGTTAAAATTTTAAAACATGGCTTAACACTAATGCTATGCCATTTTTACTAGAAAATCTTTTTCAATTTAATATTTTTTTCATTGATTTACTATATAATAAATTTATATGTGAACTTTAACTTTTTTTAAAAATGTGATTTATAGCTCTTTTCATCTGCTTTGGTCTCATCACACTCCGATAATGAAAGTCTTGGTGGATTTTCTATTGAAGATGTCCAAAAGGAAATTAAAAGAGGCACAAAGCTGGTAAGTTGGTATTTCTGCCTCTTGAGTATAAAAATTACTTTAAACTCATTAAGGATGAAATTGCTTATTTTAGAGTGTATTGCATTATTAACTGAGTATAATTTCAATTGCAGGCTTTTTTTCTGAGCCAGCAAAATCCAATGCTGGGTTTAATTTATTTACCACTCAACAAAAAAGAATGAATCAACTTTTATATTATTCAACTAATTTTTTCTTTTCTAAAGGAATTAAAATCTTTTCAGAGGCTGTGTTTGCTTAGAAAACAAGCAGTTTGCTTAATTTGCATGTATCTTGTGTTAAAATTATCATTCAAGTATATTTTTCATAATTCTAGTATGTTTTCCTTTTCTTTCATTAAAGTTATTGTGGTCATTACAAATGAAGATGACAGTGTCCCCTCAAGAGGGAAATGTTAGCACTTGCTGAACAAGGTATTTTACTGTGGCTCTGCTATATGACACAGCATTTATCACTTCAGATAACTTTTGGAAAAATTTACAGGAGCTTTTCTAAAACTGTGCTAGAGTAATGTTCCTGTAGTTGTCTTTACTACCAGTAACCAGATGGGCAAGGATTTATATCACTCTATTGGAAAAATACTGTTATCTTAATTGGTGTTTATGACACATGGTTTATTTTAAAACATTTAATTAATTGAAAGATTTATTTTCATTTGATTATTTGTCTTGTTTGAGCTCTTTATTGAAATTACATCCATAAATGTACCTTTACAATTTTCATTGTTAAATGATTTATTATTTTAAAGATGACTTTGGCAGAACATATATCTGTGTTCTTAGGCACTGATAATCTAATTCACAAAGAATCTGAGATGCTGATTTTCAGATGAAATGATTATGGGAACAGTTTGATGATAGGGATAATGTATTTTGAAAAGTAGTCTTCTAGTATTGGGGTAAAAGCAATTTGAAGAAATATAAGTTCAAAGAAAACATTTGAGTTGTTTTTTTTTTTTTTTTTTGATAAGTAGTTTCAGATCCTAGTGTTAGTATTGGTACAAATGAAAATTCAGGGGTTATACCATTTTTGTTGTAATGAGACCTCAATTGCAAACCTTTATCTTTCCTACCCCTAAAACTGTAAATAGCAGGTTATTTCTCTGGGTCATGTTTCCCTTGCCTCCAAAAAAAAGGGATAATGACAGTACTTGCCTCGCAGAATTATTGTCAGGATTAAAGGAGAGACATTATATAGGACTGAGCATGGTGCTTGGCATACAGTTAGTAATTGATAAATAGAGGCTACCACTGTAGTTATTGCTTGTAAATAAAAATAAGATCCTGTAAATATCATTGTGGGCTAATGAGAAGCATGGTAGTCTGACAAGTCATGAGGCCTATTTAAAAAAAAAAAATTGGCACTGCAGATGGTAACCAGGGCCTCATCAACGCTAAGCATACATATTACCACTGAACTACACCTCCAGCCCCAAAGCTATTTTTTAAATAACTGCTAAGAAAATATTATATAACCTTATACAAGCGATTAACTTATTTGTTGTTTCACCAACTGTAAATAGATAATGCCATATGACTGCTTACTACACAGTTATGTTGCATGACTAAAAAGGTCTATGAAAGATATAAAGAATTACCTTAGAAAAACTGTTTTGGAAGTCCTTTGACAACATTGGCATATAACATTGAGGGATACCTCAGAAGGGCAGCACTTCCGAGCCTGGATATATCATTTTGTTTCCTTTCCTTTTTCTCAGATGTCAGAATTTAAATGACTTATTTAGAGGATAGGATTTATATGTTTTACTCATTTTTTTCTGTGGGATTAAACTCAGGTGTTCTCTGTCACTGGTTTACAACTCCATCCTTTTTTATTTTGAGATGGTATTTCTAAGATACAGAGAGTGGCTTCGAACTTGTGATCATCTTGCCTTAGCCTCCTGAATCACTGGGATTACAGGCATATGCCACCATACCCAGCATGTATTTCACTTTGAAATAGTTTTTAAGACTCATTTTAGCCTTCAGTTTTGTTCCTTCCAATATACTGTTGATTTTTTTAAAAGAAGTGATACCAAATAACCAAAATTCCAGATTATAGTTTTCTTCTTTATTTTCCCTGTATAAATTCATCTAAGCAATAGAAGGGCTGTAAATCAAATAGGAAGAGAGAAAAAATGAAGAGCTTTTTGTAACTAGATAAACTACGTACAAAATTGACAAGAAACTTCCATAATTGACTTTTTAAGGTATTTTATCCTGTAAGCCAGTTTGCCCCGGTTCCTGTTCATCTGGATTTCTAGGTGAAAAGTAGGTCATGAATACCCATTGAAAATAACCAAAAACAGGAACACTGGCTCCTGAGTGCTTTTGAGATAGATTCCAGTCTGTACCTGGTGTTGGCTCCAAAGGTGCTTGCTTGTCCCAAAGATAAGGACAGAAAGAAGAGGTGAGGGCTTAGAAGTGAAAGGGTTTAGGCAGCCAGGTTAGTCAGACCCTTGTAAGGAGGGGAACACTCAGTAAGGCAGCAGGTACATGTATGTAGTTCTTACATTCTTGCAGCCATAGGTAGTTTTCCAAGGTTTTCACAACAACCAAAAGGATCAGAAGAGGAAAGGTATTTTGCAGGAACATAGTCATCTTTTTAAAATATATAGCACCAAAATGGAACAGAAAAAATTTGCCAGAGTATTAAGGCTTTATCATTTGAAGTCCTGTTTTTAGAGTTTAGACAGATAAATGTTTTTCCAGAATGATTTCCAGTTCATACTGAAGCCATATGGAGATATCACATCTGTACCATCTATTCTTATTCTCTAGCCATCTAGCCAAGAAATGCAAATTCCCAAGTAAAATTATGAGTTACCATTGCTTTTTAAAATTTGTCTAAGGAGATTCTTGAGCAGCATATTTGAAGAACATAAACTCTTTGAGCATGAAGCTAGTTGGTGAAAGCACTAAGAAGATTGACATTGGATAGCTACTCTTACTAATTGGTACCAGTGTCAGATATATCACAGATTGCAAGAACAGAAAGAGTTCAGGAGGCCATTTAGTTCACCTTCTTTACCCCTAGGCAAGATTATCTACAAGCCATCCAAGATAAGATTTTTGTCTGCCCTGTTCTTAAATATGTCAGGAAATTGTGATTCCGCCTAAGTAATCTGAAACAGGACCAGTAGTAATATATAACATTCTTTAGAGTTGAGAAATTCATCCCTCTGTATAACTCAAATATCTCTTAACTGAAAGCCACTTATTCTAGGTCTGTTTCTTTCCATTAAATAAATGGTTGGGTTTTTTTCTTTCTTACTAAAAATTCTTCATATGCTTGATGATTTTTCTTGGGTCACTCCTAAACTTTCTTTTTCAAACTAGGTTTTACTCACATAACTTATGAAATCCTCTGATCATTTTCTTTACTGCTAGTAATATAAATAGCTAATGTTTATTGAATTCTTTTTTTTAAAGAAAGAGTGAGAGAGGAGAGAGAGAGAGAGAGAGAGAGAGAATTTTTTTTTTTTTTAAGAGAGTGAGAGGAGAGAGAGAGAGAGAATTTTTAATATTTATTTTTTTAGTTCTCGGCGGACACAACATCTTTGTTGGTATGTGGTGCTGAGGATCGAACCCGGGCCGCACGCATACCAGGCAAGCGCGCTACCACTTGAGCCACATCCCCAGCCCTTGAATTCTTAATATGTGCTAGGGACTAGGCTAAGTATTTTAAATGTGTGATCCTATTTATTTATCACGATCAGACTGAGATAGGAAAGTATTCATTCTCATGTTACACAGGGAAACTGAGGCTCAGAAAAGTTAAGTAACCTGACTGTGATCATATAGCTAGTTAGTGGCAGAGTTGGGATTTAGATCCTGAGCTAGTTAACTCCAAAACCAGAACTGCTAATCACCAGGTTGTACTGACTTGTCTTTTAAGCTGCCCAACCAAAAATCACATTTTAAAAAATGTGGTGGTTAAGGCTGGGAATGTGGCTCAGTGGTAGAGTGCTTGCCTAGCTTGTGGGAGGCCCTGGGTTCTATCCCCAGCACTGCCAAAAAAGAAAATGTATTGATTAGATGAAGATAGAAATAGTGCCAAATTTAGAACATACTCAGACTCCTACTAATTAATATGTTCTGCTAATAGCATTATCTTGTTAATTTTTAGGACAAAAACCCTATACAAATCCTTCATAAAACTGTCTGATTCCTACCCTCAAGGTTTTTTTTGACACTTCTGAAAATGAAAAGACTTAGTTCTGCATAGTCTTTATTTACTATCAAGGGACTGTGAGACACTCCAGAGTAACAGGGTGTCTGACTTTGAGATAGATATTGGGCATGCCATGAATCTGAATATGGGTTTTTTGTTGTTGGTGGTGGTGGGTTTTTTTTTTTTTTTGCAGTTCAGGGGATTGAACCCTGGGCCTTGCACATGCTAGGCCAACACTGTACTACTGAGCCACATCCCCAGTCCATGAATATGTATGTAAGATAGTTCATAATATGTGTCTTTTTATTCTGTTTGGGAGGGATCTTGCCTATTTAGGAAATTAAGACTGTTTTCTAGATATAATAAGATTTTTATTTATTTATTTTTTTAAAAAATATTTATTTATTTATTAGTTATTGGCGGACACAACATCTTTGTTGGTATGTGGTGCTGAGGATCGAACCCGGGCCGCACGCATGCCAGGCGAGCACGCTACCGCTTGAGCCACATCCCCAGCCTTTAATAAGATTTTTTAAAAAATGGAATGAATGCAGGAAATAGGTGAGCCATACCAAAACAGGTCATGGAGATAGACAGTAATAGATTAGAGTAGTAAGGTGAGAAGACTGCAGGGTCATTAAACATCAGACAGGAATTGCAACTCAGATAAGAGGTTATAGGGAAGGGCAAAACAGGATTTTTCAGGAGAAAAGTGACACACAACAGACAGTGTACAGAATGAAATATGATGGCAGCATATTTGTCTGCTCTGCAGAGATGTCCTGCGGGCATCTTAAACTTAACCTGTC